TGGTCTCAAACTCCTGGGCTCAAGTGATCCTCCCTCGGCCTCCCAAAGAGCTAGGATTTCAGGTGTGAGCCATCGTGCCTGGCCCTATTTTAATGATTTTATTTTTAATGTCAGAAGTTCCTTGATTTTCTTTCATATCTTGACATTCATTTTTGATGATCTCTTGTTCCTTGGTCTCATTTTCCCTTTCTTTCATTTCATTAAACATTTTCTAAATAGTTACTTTGCATTTCAGCAATGAATTTGAGGGGGTTATTTCTGCTGTTTTCTGTTTCTCCTGACTTTTGCTTATGGTGGCCTTTTTCCTTCCTTTGGTTTGGAATTATTAATTATGTGCACATGTTTGATCTCCAGCTGCAGAAATCCTGAGGGGCCTACATTAAGGGTACATTTCTTTACAAATTCTCAGGGGAGTCATTTTTGCTACCTAAAACTGAGGCTGAAAGACAAGACAACTTGTCAACTGCTTTTACTGGAGGGCAAATTTTTTTTTAAGCCAGCCTACAGTATACTTCTTTGATGGTCCTGGTTTTTTTGTGTATGTGTGTATGGTGATGGGGAAACAAAAAATAAAATGGCAGAGTTAAGCTAATATATTAACAATTATATTAGATTAATAAATTACAATGAATTAATTACAATAAATTAATAATTACATTAATGTAATGCTCTAAACACACCAATTAAAAGATACTGGAAGACTGCATTAAAAAACATAACTCAACTATTAACATATGATGTCAAAAGGAAATGCATTTCACATATAACAATATAGGCAGGGGGAAAGTAAAAGGATGGAAAAAGATATATCATGAAAACATTAATCAAAAGACACCTATGTTTTTGATGCCATCAGGACTTGGCAAAAAACAAAAAGAAAAAAAAAGAAACCCGTGTAAACCTGGTTATATTAATCAGATAAATTAGACTTCAGAGCAAAGAAAATTACTGGAGACAGAGAGGGACGTTACATAATGACAAAAGGATCAATCTACCAAGAAGCCATAGCAATACTAAATGTTTATGTACCCAACAATAGAGCTACAAAATATGTGAAGCAAAAACTAATAGAATGTAGGAGAAATACAGACAAATCCAAAATCGTGTTTGGAGACTTCAACAATCTTTTCTCAACAACTGGCAGAACAACTAGACAGAAAATCAACAAGTGTACAGAAGAACTCAAAAACACCATTATGCATTAAACAGTTAACTCAGCAAGCACAAACATTGCATATTCCAAATAAAGAATTAGTCCTTGACTAACTCCAGGGAGATAACTTCTAAGTCCTTGGAAAGTCCTGTGCAATAAGAGTGTCCTTGTATCCCTGACACTTTGGGCCATGCCAGACAGTTTATGCTAATAATATGATTTAAAGTGAACACCTGATTTTATTTGCTTGGGGTGGTGGGCCATATTATATCAGTTTGATCTCTAGGTAATAAAGGGGTGGTAATAAGGTAATAAACCTGCAGCCTTGGTGCCACATGTGGCTTTCTAGATCCTTGAGTGCAGCCTTCTGACTGAATCCAAATTTTATAGAACAAATCCTTTTAATAAAGGATGTTATTATAACATCTTTGCTGAGTTTTGTGATTTCTTCTAGCAAATCACTGAACCTGAAAGTGGTCTTGGGGAACACTGACACACACATCAACCAAGAGGATCTAATTGACATTTATAGAAGATTTCACTCAACAACAGCAGAATACATATGCTTTTCAAGCAAACATGGAACATACATATGCTAAGATCTACTTGGCATAAGTATCCTTGGTATATTAGCCTGATAATACAAACCTCAACAAATTTAAAAGAAATGAAATCATAGAGTGTGTTCCCTGACCACAATGGAATCAAACTAGGAATCAAGAATAATGATAACATGAAATCTCCAAATACTTGAATGCTAAACAACATACTTCTAAATAATCCATGGGTCAAAGAGGAAGTCTCAAGGAAAATTTAAAAAAAATGTAAACATAACATATGATCAGTTGTGGGACACAGCTAAAGTGGTGCTGAGAAGGAAATTTACAGCACTAAATGCTCATTAGGAAAGAGGAAAGTCTGAAATCAATAATCTAAGCTTCCACCTCAAAAACCTTTCTTGAAAAAGAAATGCAAAATAAACCCACAGCAAACAAAAAGAAGAAAATAATAAAGAGCAGAAATTAATGAAACTGAAAAATAAAAAACAGAGACAACCGATTTAAACAAGTTCAAGTCAGGGAAATAAGGTAAAAAAGGAAATAAAAACAAGTACGAAAAAAACCCCAAAAATCTTCCTAGAATTGATTTCAGCAAGGTTGAAGAATAAAAGATAAACATAAAGAAAATCAATTGTATTTCTATATAGTAACAATGAACATGTGGAGACAAAAATTTAAAAGTATAATACCATTTACAATTGCTCAAAAAAGGTTAAAACTATAAAATGCTGATGAAACAAATCAAAGACCTATATAAATTGAGACATAATGTGTCCATGGATTGGAAGTCTCAACATAGTAATAATGTCAACTCTCCAGTGAATTGATATGCATGTTTAACACAATTCCTATCAAAATCCCAACAATATTTTAAATTTAGATATTATTCTAAAATTTATAAGGAAAAGTAAGGGAACCTGAATACCTAAAGCAATTTTGAAAAAGAAGAATGAAGTGGAAGGAATCAGTCTCCATGATTTGAAGACTTATAATGTAGCTAGAGTAACTAAGACTCTGTGGTATTGGTGGACAGACATCAGTTCCATCAATCAATGGAACAGAATAGAGATCCCAGAAATAGGCCCACACAAATATACCCAAATAATTTTTGACAAAGGTACAAATGCAGTTCAATGGAGAATGGATAGTCTTTTTAACCAGTGGTCCTGGAACAGATGGACATCCATAGGTAAAAAATGGAACTGAAACCTCACCTTAAGCCTTACACCCTATATAAAATTAACTCAAAATAAATCACGCACTTAAATGTAAAACTATACAATCTTTAAAAAGAAATCTTTGGCATCTACGGCAAGGTATAGAGTTCTTAGACTTGACACCAAAATCATGATCCATAAGGAGAAAATTGTAAATCTGATCTCATTGAAATTAAAAATGTCTGCTCATTGAAAGAGAGGATGAAAAGATAAGGTATAGATTGAGGTAAAAATATTTACAAACCACATATTTGACAAATATTATCTCTTGTAAAAATAGAGAACATGGGCAAAGACACGAACAGAAATTTCACCAAAAAGAATATAAACACATGAAGATACATTCAACATCATTAGCCATCAGGGAAATGCAGATTAAAAGAACAAGATATTAGTACACATCTATCAGAATGGCTAAAATAAAACAGTGTAATAACACCAAAGGCTGGTGAAGATGTAGAGAAACTGAATCACTCATACATTGCTGGTGGGAATGTAAACATGGTAGAGCCACTCTAGAAAACAGTTCAGGAGTTTTGAGAAAAACTCAATATACAATTATCATATGACCTAGCAATTCCACTCTGGGCATTTATTCCAGAAATGTGAAAACTTATGTTCAAACACCTATATGCAAATGTTCATAGCAGCTTTATTCATGATTGCTAAAAAGTGGAAACAATCCAGACGTTACTCAACAGGAGAATGGTTAAACTGTGGTATATCTATATATGCATGGAAAGGAATGAATTATTGATACACTCAACAACTTGGATTAATCTTCAGAGAGTTATGCTGAGTTCAAAAAGCCAATCCTAAATATTATATACTATTAATATATCATTTTATTTCTGTAACAGTCTTAAAATGACAACATTTTAGAAATGGAGAACAGATAAATGGTTGCCAGGGATTAAGTGATGGGGAGTGGAGAGTAGGGTGAGATAGGAGGGAAAGAGGTGTGGTTATAAAAAGGCAACACAGGGATCCTTGTGGTGATGGAAATGTTTTGTACCTTGACTGTATCAATGTCAAATCCTGATTGTGATATTGTGTTTTGTAAGACATCACCATTTGAAGAAATTGGTACAGAGTATATGGGATCTCTTACAAGGATCCCTTATTTCTTACAAATGTATGCATTTCCATAGTTATATCAAAATTAAAAGTTTAATTAAAGAAGAAAAAATAGAACATATCCACAAATCATATTACTTATTTATTGAGCACCTGTTGTATGGCTAGGCCCTATTTAAGGTACTCTTATGAATGTTATTTTTATTTTTTATTTTATTTTATTTTTATTTTTTGGAGACAGAGTCTCACTCTTGCTCTGGGTAGAGTGCCATGGCTCAGCCTAGCTCACAGCAACCTCAAACTCCTGAGCTCAAGCAATCCTCTTGCGTCAGCCTCCCAAGTAGCTGGGACTACAGGGATATGCCACTATGCCCAGCTAATGTTTTTTCTATTTTTAGTACAAACGGGGTCTCACTTGTGCTCAGGCTGATCTTGAACTCCTGGCGCAAGCAATCCTCCTGCCTCGGCCTCCCAGAGTGCTAGGATTACAGGTGTGAACCACCATGCCCGGCCATGAATGTTATTTCTTACTTAATTTTTATGAACTCTTAAAGAGTATGCCCATTTCCCAAATGATCTTTCATGGAACACTAATTCTTTGTGACATTAATAGCCTTCCTTGAAAGGTGTCATGTAAAAGTGGTTCCCGTTAAATAGGTTTGAGAAAGATAAAAATAATTTTTTACTGTAGGATTTTTCAAGGTCTTTAATATATGAATGAAGATTATAAATATTCAAAAGAAGGCCATCATACACAGCTTTCCTCAAATTTCTTTAATTTTGGAACTGTTGTTTTCATGTAATGCCTATTGACAACTTGCCTGAATAACCAGTACTCCTTATAATAAAACATAATAAATGTTGGGTTATAGTTTTTTTATCAGCATTTCTGCTGAAGTGAGGTTTTATGCATTATTTCAATTTAAGCTATCGATTTATTGTTATGAGCCTGAATATACTTCCATCATACTGTAGGTGATCCAAACTACTTACCATGTAACAATATAAATAGATCGAAGTACTAATGTGAAGACCAACATTCCATACATGACCTGAATAGGAAAGGAAAATGAAGTTAGTACAATCATTATTCTTTGGCAAAGGAAGTGCATTTTGCCTACCAAAATACCTCTCCAAATTAAATTTAAACATTTATTATTATTTTTTTGAGACAAGGTCTTAATCTGTTGGGCTAGAATACAGAGGTGTGATCATAGCTCACTGCAGCCTGAACTCCTGGGCTCAAGTGATCCACCTACCACAGCCTTCTAAGTAGCTGGGACTACAGGCATATGCCACCATATCCATCTAATTTTTCTATTTTTTGTAGAGATGAGGTCTTGCTATATTGCTCAGGCTGATCTCAAACTCCTGGGCTCAAGTGATCCTCCCACCTCAGCCTCCTGAAGTGCTGGGATTACAGGTGTGAGCTACCGTGCCTGGCCATACTTACTATCTTTCATTATATTTTAAAGAACAGAATTTTTAAAAAATGTGTTAATTATGTAAGTACATCATGCTAACTTCTGAGGAAAAATTAAGAGCCTGCTTGTAAATAAGCAGCATCAGAAGTCCTATGTTAACTTTAATTCTGAATGGATCCATGAAATTTTAAATATCTGCTGAAACCTCAACAAATACTATAATTTTGTCTCAAACATCCTAACTCTTTCCCTTCAGCTTTGCTTTTGGCAGATACTTCAATAATTGTGCTTCCCATTTTCCAACAGTATAAACCTGAACTCTTTTAAACTCTTCTCCTAAATGTCTCTGCATTCATATGCATCTTCCCCCTGCATTCTTTCTGTCATGCCTAGTCAGCAAAGAAAGTGATGCCCACTTCTCAACCAAGTTTATTCTCCTGTGTTCTTTACTGTATATGCTCCCACATCTTCCTAACATTGGCTCCTTTATCTCTTCTGTATTGAGAACTGGGTGATTATTACTACTTGGAAAATTGAGCTAAGTAGGAAAATTTAACTTTTAAAAGTGTGAATACTAAATTCAAACAATTTGCATAGAATCCAAATGTACAGCTTAAAAATTATTTACAAAGCCAGTAGTTGGGAAAGCACTACTCAGGTCAAGAAATGGATCCCTGTTAACATCCCAGAAGTGCTGCATGTGTGTCTTCCCTGTCCAATCCTCTCCTTTCCTCTTTAGAGGAAACTACTCTTCTGACTTTTATAATAAACATTTGCTTATCTTTATTTATTACTAACTTAAACTGGTCACCTAAATATGCATTCCTAAATAAACAGGTTGTGTTTATTTTTGATTTATAATAGAATTTTCATTAAATTAAAAATTACAACAGAATATCATTGTATGCATTTATGTTTGTCTTGTCTTTTACTATTCAGTTATGTTGTCATATATATCCACGGTTTATTGATTTTTGATGCTATAAACTAAATAAAATGCTGCAATTTACCCATTCTATTGTTGATGAATATTTTTGACTTGTTCCCAGTTTTCATTGTTATGAATATTCTTATTCACACATTATAGCCCATAAGTAACCAAGTTTCTCTAGGGTATGTACCTAGAAATGCAACTGTTGCATCAAAGTGTGTTTATGTGTGTGTGTGTGTGTGTGTGTGTGTGTGTGTGTATAATATACATGACTAAAACAGGCAAACTACTTTATAAAGTGGTTACATCAATTTATACTTCAACCAATGTGTGTAAGTGTTTCTTTTGCTCCACATACTCAACAACACATGATATAGTAAGACTTCTAAATTTCTATCTATGTGGTTTTGGTATGTATTTCTCTGATTACATGTTGAACACTGTGCATTATCTTTACTGGCCACTTGATGTCCTCTATTATGAAATACGTGTTCAAACCTATTTTTCTATTTGGTCTGTCATTTTCTTTACTTTTTCTTTTTTTTAACTTTAAAAATCTTTTAAAATTGAAATATAGCATGCATACAGATACACAAACACAAGACAGAAAAGTACTCAAAACCTAAGTACACAGTTTGATGATTATCATAAAACAAACATCTCTGCAATTTTTGATTTTGTAAGTCAAAAAATAGAACTTTGACAGCATACCACCTCATATGTCTTAAGCCCTACACCTTCTTTTCTCCAAGATTTACCACTATTTTACCACTACCTTTAGTTTTGTCTGTTTTTCAGCTTTATTGTAAATGGAACCATGTAGTGAATATTTATTTTGCTAAGTCGCTTTTACTCAAATATGCATATTTTACATAGCCATTCTACTATTGGTGAATATTAGGGTCTAATTTTTAGCTATTTCTAATAACCCTTATTATAAACATTTTAATATATATTTCTGGTATACATATTGGGCATATGCCTAGGAGTCATAAATTGGTATGACAACTTTGGAAAACAGGAGTTTATGCAAACTGTTTTCCAAAGTTGTCATACCAATTTATACCCCCACCAGCAATGTATGATTTGGTTTGTTTTTTTTTTTTTTTTTTTTTGAGACAGAGTCTCACTTGTTGCCCAGGCTATAGTGAGTGCCGTGGCGTCAGCCTAGCTCACAGCAACCTCAAACTCCTGGGCTCAAGTAATCCTTCTGCCTCAGCCTCCCAAGTAGCTGGGACTACAGGCATGTGCCACCATGCCCAGCTAATTTATATATATATATATATTAGTTGGCCAATTAATTTCTTTCTATTTATAGTAGAGACGGGGTCTCGCTCTTGCTCAGGCTGGTTTCGAACTCCTGACCTCGAGCAATCCGCCCGCCTCGGCCTCCCAGAGTGCTAGGATTACAGGCGTGAGCCACCGCGCCCGGCCTCAGCATTTGGTTTTGTACAGTCTTTTTTATTTTAGCCATTTTGTTGAATGTGTACCGGTATCTTGATGCATTTTTTTTTTTTGGTACAGGGTCTCACTCTGTTGCCCAGGCTAGAGTACAGTGGCCTCATCACAGCTCACTGCAACCTCAAACTCCTGTGCTCAAGTGATCCTCCCCTCCCTCAGCCCTCTGAGTAGCTGGGACTACAGGTACGTACCACCACGTCTTATTTTTTCTATTTTTTGTAGAGACAGGGTCTCACTTTTGCTCAGGCTGGTCTTAAACTTCTGGCCTCAAGTAATCCTCCTGCCTCAGCCTCTCAGAGTGCTAGAATTATGGGTGTGAGTTACTGTGCCTGGCCTCATTGCATTTTTAATTTTCATTCCCTGATGACTAATAAGATTGAGCACCTTTTCATGTGTTTACTGGCCATTTGGATATACTCTTGTGAAGTATCTTTTGTCTATTTTCTGTTGGGTCTTCTGCTTTCTTTATATTGGTTTTGAAGGAGGTCTTTATATATACTAGCTCTTATTTGATTATATGTGTTGTGAATACCTTATTCCACTCCAATAGTATACAGTGGCTTTTGTTGAACCCAATTTCTTAATTTTAAGATAAATGATTAGTGTTGTCCATGTCTTGTAATAATGGGACAGCTATCCATTAAATAGATATTCTTTAATGTCTCTAAATGTGTTTTATAATTTCTTCTATAATTTGAGCCATGGGTTATTTATATTTCCTATATCCTAACATAATTGCATTATAGTCAGAAATTATATTCTGATTCCAATACTTTGGAATTTAAGACTTCTGTATCACCCAATATATGGTTAATTTTTGTAAATGTTCTCTGAGTACTAGGGAAAAAATGACTTTCTGCAATTTTGGGGTTTGGTATTTTACTTCTGTCCTTTAGGTCAAGCTTTTTAATCATGTTGTTCAAATCTATATCCTCTATCAATACTGTATCCATTGATTTATTTATCATTACCTTCTGACAGCTATGTATTAAAATCACCTAATATTATGGGTTTGTCTATTTTTTTTCTTCTAGTTCTGTCAATTTTTGCATTATATATCTTGAGGTTATTTTAGAGGTATACATCAATTTTAAATTATCAGAATTTTTGGATGAATTGAACCTTTTAGTACTATGAAGTAATCACTATTATTAGAAATGTTTCTCTCTTTTAAGTCTATTTTATCTGATGCTAAAACAACTATATAGGTTGAGTATTCCTTACAGGAAATGCTTGGGACCAAAACTGTTTTGGATTTTGGAATATCAGCATTATACTTACCAGTTCACCATCCCTAATCTGAAAATCTGAAATCCAAAATGCTCCAATGAGCATTTCTTTTGATGCTCAAAAAGTTTTAGATTTTGGAGGATTTTAAATTTTGGATTTTTGGATTACAGATACTCAACCTACACCATATTTCTTTTGCTTAGTATTTGCACAGTATATTTTCCCATACTTTTTCTTTCAACTGTTCTGTATCTTGATGTTTTAGGTAAACTTTTTTGTAAGGCCTTGATATGACTTCTGCCTACCTCTTGGGTTATTATGGCTTCTCATTTTAATTTAGGATTTTATAATGTGACCATATAAACTCCTTGTGATCTCTCTATTAAACAAACTCCAACAAATATTTTTGAGCATTGTATTTATTGAGCATTATATTAGACCCTGGGGATATAATGGTATGAATAAAGGGTTAACATCAGGCCTAGATGGATGCAGGCCTGCTTGGGAATAACCTCAGTCTCCCAGAACCTTGGATACAACAGAGTTGTGATAAATGGGGAGTATTGTGAAGGACTTCACCTAGGTTGGAGGCTATGGTAATACATGAGAACAGTATGAAAAGATGCCATATATAAAGAGTGGTAGGAAAAAGGGGCTGTAGTTTCTACATGTTAAAATGACCTCCACTATGCTTGGCTCTCATCCCTGGTAGTTGTACACAATTTATGTGGAAGACGGTGCAAATGAACAGCTCCAGATCTCCTGATGAGATGATGTTATATCTGCTGTAACTCTCACCCTGTATCCTTCTATAAAGCTAAGTAAACAGTACTAAAATTAAAATCCTGTTAGAGTGTTACTGCCTGCTTAAATCCATAACTGCAGCTATACTGATCTACATGATGAACAAGAAAGTCATGATCCCTGTTCTCACAGCAATTAAAATCTAGTGAGGAGAGAGATAATGAGACATTTATAATATAGTATTATACCTCTGTGACAGAGA